GGGCACTTTCCCCACTATGTATCGATCACTCAACCAAGCGACAACATCCAGGCGAAATTCTAAGTTCTCCTACAAGAATATTGGATACCGACAGCGAAATCAAACCAATGACCAGAAAAATATGTTCCAACAAGACGCTGAGAATCCCAGCCAGACGTATGGCTTTGCCGCGAAATCACCGGGAGATGTCCATAGAGACTCCCCACGCCTCGGAATGCTGCTGAAGGCCAGCATTGCGACGTCTCTCATGGCGTCGATTACTTCGATAATATTCGTATCCTGGCTATGGTGGTCGGATAAAAATGACATCTATTGGCGTCGATGGGCTCTTGCCTCCAACCGTATTCAAAACAGTGTTACTATGAGTAGTGTTATAATCCGAGCTGCAGTAGGAACTGTTTTCACAGCTACGACTGCTATGGTAGCATCTCTAGCCGTTGAAAGACGTGGTGTCCGGCTTCATTCGATTGCACAGGTCTCTCTCGCGCGTTTCGCTAGCGGTGGTTACACACCTCTAACCCTTCTGGGTCTTCGAAATTCAGTATCAGAACCTTTGGTTAGAGTTCTTCTCATCTTCTTGGTCGCTACATCAATTGGCGTACAGTTCACTTCGACATTGCTGCTTGCCGATCTTGGCCAAAGTCGCGTCATGTCATTCCCACAGCCAGTTCAAGGCGGCTATCGCGTAACGATCCCGAACACATATCATGGAATCGACTGGGCCCTTGAATACAAGGGATCAAGGCGCAATCATTGGAATCAGGTACCACGGAACTCTGAAACATTTGCCGAGTACGCAGAAGGCAGCCCCCTTAAAGCAGACGGGGTTGACGACACCGGACCAACGCTGAGGGCCTTCATCCCTTTGGAGTCGCAAAACCAAAGGGAGTCCCTCAGGGAGTATCGAGGCAAGGCAAGAGTTGTTGATTCTAGGGTTACCTGTGTCCGGCCAATCGTTACCAACCTTACCCTATGTACTTGGTCAAACCCATACAGCGCAGTTCTGGCCGATAATGTGCCAGGTATATGCGGCAACATGCGAATCGATACGGCCTCAAAAAACAATGACTCTGAAACTGGTTCAAACTTGCCAAAGATTGCGAAATTCAAATGTCCCATTCCGATAGAAGTACGTTGGGGATCCGTCTGGCAAACCTGTAGGATTGCAGGTCTTAACTGGACACATATCGACATGTATCCCGGACACAGCACTTACTGGCCAAATGGCTATCAATCTTCCGAATCGGTGATCTTATGGGATGTAGGCCAATTCAAAAACCAACTTTCAGATGGTCATTCTGTCAACGTCAACGGAACATTAGACCCCGTCGAAACCAACCATCTTGGCTCATGGCTCCAGCAAAAATTTCGTTTATTTGAATCCTTGGATCAAATTACTGCCGATATCAATCTTAAGATAACAGGATGCATCTCTTCCCTACCCAGGTGAGTTCTTTACATAATAACATGAAGCCTTTCGTAGCGGCGAAGAATCTGACGATCCTTTACCTGTAGCTTTAAATCCGTTCACATGGATATAATTGCTTCATCCAATCACGATATCAAAGAGCCGAAGTACAGTGTGATGACGAATCAAGCGAATTTCGACACTTTGGACGTTAGGAAACAGTTAGGCGTAGTGAAATCGACCGAGCTCGAACGTCGCGGAATCTTATCTATCACATCAGAGACCATGAGAGAGTCTATTGCCACGGCATTTTCAGAAACCGACTTAGACAGTGATCATTATGAAGCTTCTTGGTTTCTTAATGGAATAAACACCCTCCAAGCAGTCGAATTTTGTCCGGGAGGTACTTGCCACTCTGCAAGTCAGCAGGCTGATGTGGTCTATTCAGACCTTTTCCACGCTATAATCAACGACACCAACTCCCCAGCTCGCGCACTTCAAGCCGCATATTTCACGATGATGCGCATGGCTTATTACGATATGTTCTCTTCCTTCACTGCGGAGAAGAACAGAACCGCTACTATTATAAGTATGACATCAAGAATAGTACCTATAAGGCATAAGGGATATTGGACAGTGATAGGACTTCTTGGAGTGTTCTATATCTTATTTGCTATTACGTGCGTTCTCTTTAGTAGAACTAGATTTAGTATCCCAGACAACGCGTGGCATACTATCGCTCAAATGTCCGAAAGTGCCGAGATATCGAGCATTTTATCAAGAGCTAGAAGTATGAATGATGCACAAGTTAGGGCCATGAGTGAAGAGCAACAAGAGGAGGACGATGACCGTTTTGTCGTACGAAATGGGGCTTTTGTTCGTGCTTCCTTGAGTGAGGAGGCGATGATCAGCGATCTGGATATGCCGTTACGCGTGGGTAAATTACGCCGCCGCCATGCGGGATGAGGTTAGATACGTCAAATTGAATGCTCTACCGTATGCAATCGAGCAGCACAAAAAGACAAAAAGGAAAAAAAAAGAAGAAAACACATCGGTCGAATTCAAGGGTCGACATCACAACAGTTTTGCCAGATACTGTGGATGCTGAAGCCGGCGTCCAGCGAAACTCCCAGAGCGTAGCCCCTCATCTTGCCCTCGTGCCTACCCTCGTACTAACCCTCCTGCCCGCACTCCTACCTTCTCAGAACAACGTCATATTAGCGCCAGCTCGCTTAACTCATCCACGGAGAGCCTTAGAAAGTCGACTGATTAGTGAGGAGATCTCCTATATTGAAATTGCGTCTGAGCTTTGCTACATTTCATAATAGTAACTCCCTCGCTCTACTCCTTCAGCTTCGCTGCACTCCGCCTCAGGAGCTACGCTCCGGATCAAGAATTCACATTTTGGATTCGTAGCAGCGAATTGAGTCCGGATGCAACGGTGTAGCTAAGCGTTAGCGTTGTGGTTATTTGGGAACCGGATATTCAACGAAATTGTTCATCGTGGGTAACCTAAATAACGGGTGGGTAATCTTCCTGGTACGAAGGGATGCAACGAATTTGAAGTTGGCCCATACATTTACGTTAAGCGATAGCACCTCAGATGCGAAATATGAAATTGTTGGCCCCATACACAATGATAGCAGCGGAATGCTTGCTGGCCATACATCGGAAGCCAAGATTACGTTGTGACTTAGCGTAACCACGCGGACTTGGTTGGCTGTTGTGTCACAATTAGCGAGCAAGCAAGCGATAGGATCCATCTTGGAAACTCGACGTTTAAGATATTTTTACAGGAAACCTTTGCTTCCTCAACCACGAGCGTGACTCCATTGCTAAGCACCGGCAAGAGAATGGATTGACTCATCATGCGTAAACGGAGGGAGGTAAAAGGTTTGTGAATACCTCTCGTCAACGTAATGAAAGAAACTTGGCTTCGTCGAAGTAAAGTAGATCCTGTCAAGCGATGCAACGAAGATTGATGATTAAAAAGTGGCCCATCGCGTCTCGTACACGAAGCATTTGCGGCTAAAAGAAGTAGAGTTGCAGCGAAACCTGTCCATCTGAACCTTACCAAGATTAACTGGCTCAAACGCGGGCGCCTTTTGGATGTTGAGACAGGCTGAGACTCTGAAGCAACTGACCTTGGAGACGAGCATCCTGAGGCTGAGGTGGCTAAAATGCCCTCTTGCATATAGCGTAGAGCGCTGATTTTGTCTAGGTCTTCGGCATGGGCTTGTCTGCCAGGTAAATTTGTATCAACCCCTAAAGCTTGCCATCAGGTGCTCCATTCTCAAAGGTTGATACTTAATTCACCGCACCACCGAATGCGACGTTCATGGTTGACGACATCGAGAAACCGCGGGGCTTTTCGCCGCTTTTTGATTACATAGATCGTCGCATATTGAGATGAGGTATCTCAGACAGGAAGAGATACGTCCAGAAATGCTACGATTAGGCCACCTACCTAGACCAATCCGCCACGCTAACAACACAAGCAACTTGAGCCCCGGCGGCTAACTGGAGCTCAACGACATGAATGCTGTACCTGTGTCAGATGACGGGAGTTTGACTAAAGACAGCGCGATTCTGAAGTGTGCAGACCTCTGCCTGAAGGCGATCGTCATCTTCGGATCGCCTTTCCAGGAGTTTGGTCGTCTCGAAGGGGTCCTGGAAGAGGTCGGCTTCACCGACGTACAAGTTCATTGCTTCAAGTGGCCGACTAACAGCTGGCCCAAGGATCGGAAGCATAAAGAGATTGGTGCCTGGAACTACGAAAAAATCGCGCCTAACTTTGACGGGTTCATCATGGCTCCCCTGACACGAGCCCTCGGCTGGACGAAAGAAGATGTTGTCGCTCTTGCTGCCGAGGTCTGCAAGGAATTTGGAGACAAGAGCATCCACGCTTACTACAACATGTAAGTGGTATTGTTGTTGAAGGTGAAGATGTCTTGCTAATTTGGGTAGTTGGTCCATCCACGGAAGAAAGCCTCTCTAAGACAAAGGGAGTCAGTTAATGACGGGGGTTAAGAGTTCAACCAGATAATGGTCGACCGAGAGGCCAACAAGTGAGGAGAAGTGAGATTTCTTGCCAATCAAAAGGTTTTACACATATTCCAATAGGAATAGTACCAGATGTGCTCGTCAGAACGAATCATCGAGAAGTGACAGTGATTATTGCAGGCCAATGTCCTACAGAGAGACATTCCAAGCCTGCTTAAGAGCTGCTAGTCAGAAAGACGAGTCTAATCAGTCAACCTCAAGGAAGGCTGTCTTGTTACTACGATCACTCTTACCGTACTTGTCAACCCTGTTGTCTCTAACCGCCGGCATAGCAGAGTTCTTGCCCAAAGCAAGCCTCACCATATTACGAAAGGCAACCCCCCAGAGTCGGCTGCCACCATCTTCTATCGGAATGCTCCGCTGATCTCGGCTTTCACCCATGACTCTGACTCAAACCACATCCGTCCATGTCGTCCTACACCACAACGCCATGTCTCACCTCAGCTCCAAGCAACCAATGCCCATTCCTCCGCATCTCACGATCTTTCCGCCATATCTTTGACGGATCCCTCCTCTTCTAATAACAAGCGGGCGATTGGTTTAGTGGTATAACGATCCCTTCGCATGGGATAGGTCCTAGGTTCGATTCCTAGATTGTCCATTCTTTTGCCCCTCGTGACGGGGCTTTTTGCTGCTGTGCTCCCCGAGAACGCCACAACTCCGTTCTCGACTCCCGACTGGACCAGAGCTCCCCAAATGCCCATTCCGGAGCATTCCTGTGCATATGAGAAGCTGGAAAGTCTGCTCTTTCATTAAATGGGCGATTGGCTTAGTGGTATAACGACCCCTTCGCATGGGGTAGGTCCTATGTTCGATTCATAGATTGTCCACGCATTACTTTTTGCTGCGTGTTACCCGTGCTTGGTGGCACATGGCTGAGAATTTCAATGACTTCAAGCATCAAGGCACCTGGTACGATGCTTCCGTGACTAAAACCAGATCTCATATGGCGATCAAGCCCCTTTTTCTGAACTGTATTTGGGTTGCAAGTAGGTAAGGGCAAGGCCATGCAGACCATACGAACAGATAATAGAGAGGGAGCTGCTAGTGCTATTTTCAGACTTTCTGATGTAGCTCCCGAGCTATCTCTCTTGTTTTCCTGGCATTCATTATAATGAACGAACGGCACACCGCGAGTCTGAGGCCGTGCCGGTGACCGTTCTCCCGAAGGCTTGTACTTCATCAGCAGCAGTGACAGTCGTGCAGCAGCCTACGAATGCCGTAAACAGCTGAAGGGAAATTGAGCCAATGCAATTGGCTGTGCCAAAACACCGCGTTCCTCGCAAATAAACCAATATATATAAGTCTCCTAAAAGAGATCGCAAAGATGCCCAGGTTGCGTTGTTGAATCAGTGACTGAACCTCACTACTGTGGAGAGTTGGGAATGCAGATTCAGCCATAAAAGCGCATATGAGCTGCATCAGATCTGACAGCAAACCAAAATTGGTGTGATTGTCGTCGTTTTTCTCTCTGCATTCGCTGCATTCGACAAGGGAGCCGTGTATAAATTACGTGTACGCAACGTGCCAGTCGAGATCAATATCCGATGTCATCCATCAGATTCAGATTCAACTACCACTTCTTCGGGAAGGTTTGGACAAGAATACCCTGTAGAGGATGGAAATGATCTACAATAGAAGCACAAGGATGCCGATGAAGCGGTGCGCGGCAGATTATTTACAAGAACGGTCTGTGTGGGAGGCTGAGAAAGGCTGTACTACCGAAGCAAAGTTGAGACATCGTTCCTAACATAACTCATATTCGGTCTTTGTCGAAGTCAAACGGAAAAGGGGAGATCTACAAGATATACTACCGCCACTTTAGCGTAGTCCCATAATGTTTTCAATGCATGAAAGAGCTGTGATCCATGCTGAGGTTTTATCTCTAAGAACGAAGGAAACAGATGTCTCAGGTGCTGCATAGGCCTCTTCTGTTTGGCAAAATAATATTTCTCGGGCTGATTTGAGACGAATGCAAATTAAATCATGTCTCATCACATACGAGAATCTGTCACAAGAGTCACTGGGTTATACTCAAGTGAATACACCGCAGACAATACGGATACCAACTGGCGAGTCCGAACGGCACTCTCAGAGCAAAGTATCATGTACCCAAGGGAGAGACTTGCCGGCTCGTGGTCACTACTCACTTTATAAGTACCCAGCAGACCGCAATTAGTTAACGAGATTTCTTCTTCAGATGCGATTGCTGCTGCCGACTCCATAGACTAAGGCAACGCCTGGTTTTATATTACACCCAGCTCCCTAACGCAATTGGCACTCACGAACAAGCCACGCTCACCTGAGCATATATAAGGCAGGACACCTCGTCGTTAAATCTCACTGAAACGCACAATGCTCTGGCCGCGGTGTGCTAGGAAGATCGCTGATTTTCTCAATTGAAGTCGAATTAGGGCCAAAAGTCAGCAACGGTAAGTGAGGAAGGGAAAGGCTTGCTCTTTACTACGGAGCTTCCAGAGCGCTGTTCATCTGGACTTCAAGGCGAATAAGCCACAAGAACTAACACAGGAAGACGGTATCATTGCCCCCGACAGAATATCAAATTAATCGGACAGACTCCATACCTTCACCATACTCAGAAAGGCTATCCTCCCAAACAAGAAGTTCCGAAAATCCCGCCATTCAACCTGATGTCCTCTGATTGGCACCCGCAAGTAGACCTTATTACCACTTATTGCACGGCAGCACGGCTAGCAAGACTGGCACCTGGCTGCTTTTCGTCCCGCGCAGTATATATCCAGATACCCGTCTCCCTCCGAAGACGATTTAGCCACAAGATGAGCTCGTTCAAACTTGTGGATCGCATTTCTTCACCATGATAACGGGGATATTTGCAGCGGCTGCAATCGCCAAATGCCACCCCTTAGCGAAAGAGCAGCTCGCGCTACAGATCTCATGGAATATGGACACGCCACTATTATCTGCCGTTTTCCGTTTCGTATTCACCTCTGGAATAATCTCACACTGCCACGGCATCATTTCATCTATTCCCCTCAAGGTTCACGGATTTGGGAAATCCTTGCTAAATACAACGGGTGACTGAAGACTCTTGAGCAGCCTCCAGTGTACCGACCATTAATTACAGACGTTGCTGTAACGATTGATTGGGATGAAAAGAATAACAAATATAGATGGACATTTCATAATTTATATTGAACAGCGTAAGACATGTTCCGTTCTCAACATGCGATCCCCTGGACCCCTAGCGTTCAGCCTCTGGTAACCTTCACAACCCCAACTTTCAAGGCAAGTATAAATGTGAACACCTATCTTCCTAAAGTGTCCTTGCAGCAAAGCAACGGGAAATTTCTTCATTCTGTGGAAAGTTCCTAAAGGATCGTTCTCGACGAGTCAGCTACACCAATCCACTCCAAAAGTGTGAGGAATTGTGATCACGGCTCCCCCCACTCACAGAAGAGATACATCTCCATGCATCATGTTCTCTTCTTTCGTATCCGTCCGGGAACAATCCCGCACTGCCACGCCATTCTATCGCCTGTTTCATTGAGCCTTGATCCGCGTACTCGGGAGATTTCACTGAAAACGATGGGCTGGTGATATTTCTTGAGCAGCCGCCGCGGGGTACGAAGCAGAATCATCAGGATGAGGAAAAAGCCATGCCGAGACAATGACACCGTGGTTTATACCCAAGAACATCCAGACCGAGTGCTCTCCGACGTAGCCCCTAGTTCAGATCTCCTCGCCTTCTCGTAATATATAACCCCATTACATTCTTGTCTTCTCTGCTCTCACAGACAGACAAATGTGTTCTTGTTCCATTTCTCAGCACTGGTGATCAGAAACAGATGTCAGCTGTTCAACCCGTGAAGGCCATCACCCAAGTTCAAATAGACAGAAAACCATCCAGCCCCATCTTCCTCCAATCCGTAGCCGTCCTCGTCTTCTGGCGCGTATCTCACCCATAATATCACAAAGTCAATGACGCCAGCTAGCAACCGCACATCCACGATATCCCACCGCCTGTTGCTTGAGCATGGGTCCTTTCACGGGGAGATCCTCGCTGCACCCAAGAGGCTATGGTGAATTCTTGAGCAGACTTCGCGACGCTTTATCATCATGGGAGAAGAGAAGAGAATTCATAAGATCAACTGGCCTCTGGCTGTTTTCTCGCCACACGCTCCCCTTTACAACCTCAGATTCTAAAGCATCAACACCAGCAAACTACAGGTATATAACGCGACTTCTGTTGCGACGTTGTGACTTCCTTTTACGAAAATGTGCCTTCTTGACGTGCTTTTCAATTGCAGAAAACAAAACCTTGCGCTCAATGGTGCCAGGCTCCTCTTTCGAAGCAACGAACCCCGATCCAAATGAATCCACGCTCCCTACAACCACATGTTGTCCTGCTTCTCCCACTCATCGCCGTACCTATTTGCGTATCCCATCCGCAACCCAAAAAAAACCACGCCAGCTATGTTCTGCTCTTAGAATCCATACATCCAAGCCACAACATCCCACGCAGCCTTATTTGCCGGGCGACAGCTTGCTGAGCTCAACATGCACGTCCTCATCTATCCTTTTGGTGGAGTGAAGAGCAGACTGACCCCTAACGCAACATGCCAAAAACCTCCCAATTTATACAAACACCCCGCACCCAAGCTCAGCTGCCCCTTAACACGACCGCGAGGAACACAAGATCAAGCTGCCGAGTATAAAAGACCAGCTAAACGCTGTGTTTGAATCCTAGGCAGCAAGCAATCGATCTTGATGGTTGTACGGCGCTTAGGAATCAAGGTTCGTTCAAATTCAACGAGGTACATCATCTCTCCAAGTCCAAGAGTATCTACGTCAGGTCGCGGTATACCAAAAAAGTCCCCCCAGATCGTGTCTCACCTCACCCCGTGGTTATCCCCGTCCTCGGGCACGTATTCCATCCGTAACTCCCAAAAGCAACGACGCCAGCTATCGTCCATTGCCTCAGATAACTATGAGACCGCCATGCCAGTTCCCAGACGCCACATCTTGTCGTGCCCCAGACAACACCCCGGGTTTGAAATCACTGCACTGACAGACGGGCTCATTCTTGCGCTGGTCCCAAGCTCACACTGATCATTCACCAATTTATACAAACACAACGCCTCACAAAGCCCAACTGTCCCGTAGCGTAATCGCAAGAACATCAGACTGTGTGACTCGCCGAGTATAAAAGACCATCCAAGCCGCCCTCTTCATCTCTCCACAGCCAGGAATGGACGGACCCACCACGACAACATGATTGAACAAGACCTCCCCCAGGTTCTTAAAAAACCACTATGCGATTATCTACACGTACAGAGGACCGCATATTTCTCATTTTAGCGGCCTGTGTGCTGCTTCGCCATTCTCCCCTATCCATCATCCATACCCTCATATCCGCCAGCGAATACTCCAAACCCAGCCTCTAGCACATCGTCAAAGACACTCACCACCCTCCCTCCTCAAGGACCATAGCCGTACGCAGGATGGTATCTGCATGTTTTCTACGACACTTGAAACCCGACTTGGGACAACCACCCCGCATTTTGGCTGTCTTGCCCATGGCTGTACGTAAACTCAAGAGCTTTTATACACCCACTTACT